TACTACAAACGTAGCATGATATTGGCACAGAAACAGACATGGGGTCAATGGAAGAGAATAGAGAGCCCAGAAATAAACTCACACACCTACATTCAATTAATTTCCGACAAAGTAGGCAAGGATATACAATAGGAAAAGATAGCTCTTCAGCGAGTAGTGTTGGGAAAGCTGGACAGTTACATGTAAATCAATGAGGTTAGAACACACCCTTTCTGTATACACAAAAGTAAAGTCAAAATGGTTTAAAGATTTAAGTAGAAGACATGACACAATCAAATTCCTAGAAGAGAATAGGCAAAATATTCTCTGACATAAACTGCTCCAGTTTGCCTACATCAGTCTCCCAAGACAACAGAAATAAAAAGAAAATTAAATACATGGGACCTAATCAAACTTACAAACTTTTGCACAGCAAAGAAACTATAAACAAAATGAAAAGACAACAGAATGAAAAAAAGAATTTATAAATGATGTGACAGGCAAGGGCTTAATCTCCAAAATATATAAACAACTCAAACAACTCAATAACAACAAAAAAAAAAACAAACAACCCAAATGAAAAATGGGCAAGAGACCTTAACAGACATTTCTCCAAAGAAGACGTACAGACAGTCAATAGGCACATGAAAAGATGATCAACATCACTAATTATTAGAGAAATGCAAATCAAAACTTCAATGAGGTACCACCTCAAACTAGTCAGATTGATCATCATCAAACAATCTACAAACAGTACGTGCTGGATAGAGTGTGGAGAAAGGGAACTCTTCTACACTGCTGGTAGGAATGTAAGTCGGTATAGCCACTATGAAAAACAATGTGCAGGTTCTTAAAAAAAAAACTAAAATTAGAATTACCATATGATCCAGTGATTCTACTACTGGGCATATATCCAGACAAAATTATAATTCCAAAAGATACATGCCCTGCTATGTTCATAGCAGCATTTCTCACAATAGCCAAGACATGGGAACACTGTCCATCGACAGAGGAATGTGATAAAGAAGATATATATATAAAATGAAATACTACTCAGCCATAAAAAATAATGACATAATGCCATTTGCAGCAACATGGATGCAACCAGAGTTATTATTTTAAGTGAAGTCAGAAAGAGAAAGACGAATATCAAACCATATCACGTATGTGTGTTAGTCACTCAGTCATATCCACCTCTTTGAAACCCAGTGGACTGTAGCCTGCCAGGCTCCTCAGTCGACAGAATTCTCTAGGCAAGAATATGGGAGTGGGTTGACATTCCCTTCTCCAGGGGATTTTCCTAACCCAGTGATCAAAACCAGGTCTCATGCATTGCAGGTGAATTCCTTACCATCTGAGCCATCAGGGGAGCCCATATCACGTATATGTGGAATATAAAATATGATACAAATGAACCTATCTATGAAACAGAAACAGAATCAGGGAATCAGGGACAAAAAGAACAGACTGGTGGTTGCCAAGGTTGGGGGGAAGGAGTGAGAGGCTAGGGTTGGCAGATATAACCCCCATTCTTTTATATACAGAATGGATAAACAACAAGATCCTACTATATAGTACAGGGAACTATATTCAGTATCCTACAATAAATCATAATGGAAAAGAGTGTCAGTCAGTCAGTTCAGTTCAGTTCAGTCGCTCAGTCATGTCCGACTCTTTGCGACCCCACGAATCTCAGCACACCAGGCCTCCCTGACCACCACAAACTCCTGGAGTTTACCCAAACTCATGCCCATCGAGTCAGTGATGCCATCCAGCCATCTCATCCTCTGTCATCCCCTTCTCCTCCTGCCCCCAATCCCTCCCAGCATGAGGGTCTTTTCCAAAGAGTCAACTCTTCACATGAGGTGGCCAAAGTATTGGAGTTTCAGCTTTAGCATCAGTCCTTCCAATGAACACCCAGAACTGACCTCCTTTAGGATGGAAAAGAATGTACATATATATATATATATATATGTATATATATATATATATATATGTACAATTTATTCTCTTTGCTGTATTGCTGTAAGACAGCATTGTAAGTCAACAATACATCAATGAAAAATTTTTAAAAATTAAAAAATTGAAACATGATCCTCTACATAGAAAACCCTAAAGACTCCACCAGAAAATTACTAGAGCTAATCAACAAATATAGCAAAGTTGCAGGATATAAAATTAACACACAGAAATCCCTTGCATTCCTATACACCAACAATGAGAAAACAGAAAGAGAAATTAAGGAAACAATACCATGCACCATTGCAACAAAAAGAATAAAATATTTACGAGTATATCTACCTAAAGGAACAAAAGACCTATACATAAAAAACTATAAAACACTGATGAAAGAAATCAAAGAGGACACAAACAGATGGAGAAGCATACCGTATTCATGGATTGGAAGAATCAATATTGTAAAAATGGCTATTCTACCCAAAGCAATCTATAGATTCAATGCAATCCCTATTAAGCTACCAATGGTATTTTTCACAGAACTAGAACAAATAATTTCACAATTTGTATGGAAATACAAAAAACCTCGAATAGCCAAAGTAATCTTGAGAAAGCAGAATGGAACTGGAGGAATCAACCTGCCTGACTTCAGACTATACTACAAAGCCACAGTCATCAAGACAGCATGGTACTGGCACAAAGACAGAAATATAGATCAGTGGAACAGAATAGAAAGCCCAGAGATAAATCCACGAACCTATGGACACCTTATCTTCGACAAAGGAGGCAAGGATATACAATGGAAAAAAGACAACCTCTTTAACAAGTGGTTCTGGGAAGACTGGTCAACCACTTGTAAAAGAATGAAACTAGAACACCTTCTAAGACCATACACAAAAATAAACTCAAAATGGGTTAAAGATCTAAATGTAAGACCAGAAACTATAAAACTCCTAGAGGAGAACATAGGCAAAACACTCTCCGACATAAATCACAGCAGGATCCTCTATGACCCACCTCCCAGAATATTGGACATAAAAGCAAAAATAAACAAATGGGACCTAATGAAACTTAAAAGCTTTTGCAAACAAAGGAAACTATAAGTAAGGTGAAAAGACAGCCCTCAGATTGGGAGAAAATAATAGCAAACAAAGCAACACACAAAGGATTAATCTCAAAAATATACAAGCAACTCCTGAAGCTCAATTCCAGAAAAATAAATGACCCAATCAAAAAGTGGACCAAAGAACTAGACATTTCTCCAAAGAAGACATACAGATGGCTAACAAACACATGAAAAGATGCTCAACATCACTCATTATCAGAGAAATGCAAATCAAAACCACAATGAGGTACCATTCCACGCCAGTCAGGATGGCTGCTATCCAAAAGTCTACAAGCAATAAATGCTGGAGAGGGTGTGGAGAAAAGGGAACCCTCTTACACTGTTGGTGGGAATGCAAACTAGTACAGCCACTATGGAAAACAGTGTGGACATTTCTTAAAAAACTGGAAATAGAACTGCCATATGACCCAGCAATCCCACTTCTGGGCATACACAACGAGGAAACCAGATCTGAAAGAGACATGTGCACCCCAATGTTCATCGCAGCACTGTTTATAATAGCCAGGACATGGAAGCAACCTAGATGCCCATCAGCAGACGAATGGATAAGGAAGCTGTGGTACATATACACCATGGAATATTACTCAGCCATTAAAAAGAGTTCATTTGAATCAGTTCTAATGAGATGGATGAAACTGGAGCCCATTATACAGAGTGAAGTAAGCCAGAAAGATAAAGAACATTACAGTATACTAACTCATATATATGGAATTTAGAAAGATGGTAATGATAACCCTATATGCAAAACAGAAAAAGAGACACAGATGTACAGAACAGACTTTTGGACTCTGTGGGAGAAGGAGAGGGTGGGATGTTTCGAGAGAACAGCATCGAAACATGTATATTATCTATGGTGAAACAGATCACCAGCCCAGGTTGGATGCATGAGACAAGTGCTCAGGCCTGGTGCACTGGGAAGACCCAGAGGGATCGGGTGGAGAGGGAGGTGGGAGGGGGGATCGGGATGGGGAATACATGTAAATCCATGGCTGATTCATGTCAATGTATGACAAAACCCACTTCAATATTGTAAAGTAATTAGCCTCCAACTAATAAAAATAAATTAAAAAAAACTAAAAAATTGAATACTTTAAATTATTTTGTCACTTTGTTTACATCTTATCACTTGCATTTAATAATATAAATGTTTGTATTTTGTTAAATCTCACTTAGTCCTGTGTGACTGCTAAGTTATTTCATTCATGTCTGACCCTTTGGACTATAGCCCGCCAGGCTCCTCTGTTCATGAAATTCTCCAGGTAAGAATACTGGAGTAGGTTGCTATGTCCTCCCCCGAGGAGATCTTCCTGACCCAGGGATCAAACTCAAACCCAAGTCTCTTAAGTCTACTGCATTGGCAGGTAAATTCTTTACCATTAGTGCCACGTGGGAAGCCCCAGGCATAGTCCTGCTTGATTACAAATACACAGAATAAAGGAGACAAAAAGTAGGTGCTCAACTAAAAAAGGACCTTATCCAGATGAAAGATAAATTACTCATAAATGGCACTTTTCTCCTCTGAAACATTTTTGCTACCAATATCCTTCCTATCCTTTAGAGCCAATCTAAGCCTCAACTCCAGTACAATTTCTGTACCCAAGTTCACTGTGACAGCAAAAAATTACCTTCCTCAAAGAGAACTTAAGGTCTTAAATCAGACAACCACTCTTTAACAAAGACAGGCTGGCAAATTTCAGCAAATTTCAGTACCAGTATTTGGCACCTGAATTCAGTACATAATTTAAATTACTGTGATGTAGTATATCGGTTATTTACAATGTACAGTATCACTCAACAATTTGTATTTATGTAGCTGCACCTTCTCTTAAATTACATTATGAAAAACCTATTAAGATAATCTCTTCTTTGTATTTTAAAATTGCACAATACCCAAGCCAGTGCTAGATATTGCAGTCTACACATTAACATTACTGGTTACCTGTTTTTCCTGCAGGTTTATTTCCTTGATATTGAGCCAATTCAACTTGAGTTTCTGGAATCTGAGGAATGCAGACTGTCTTGGGGATATCAAAATGTTCTGGAAGGCTCAGTTCTGCTTTGTATAAAATGGACTTTGGCTTCTTCAACTTTGAAACATTAAAGAGCATACACATCTGCAAATAAACAGAGAGTAAAATTAGACTGTAATTCTCTTTCCTGTTGCCTCCAAAACGAAAATAACAGTGTTAGACTTAGACTCCAAATATGGGGAAAAAAATCCCTCAAGAGATTGAATTTGTTCATTTCTTTAGACATACTACTGTTTAATTGGCATGAGACAACAGTAACATGTTTCATAGACTCAAGAGATTCACCCTTTATTGAGAGATACTTAATGTCCCCTGCTCTAATCTTTTCAGTGTTGAGGATTTCATTGTCTCAGGAAGAGATCATTCCATTAGTGAACGTTCCACTAGCAAAAGTACTTCCCTCCTTGAGTTGAACCTTGTGTTACTTAACATCTACCTGTCAGCTCTAGTTCTTATTAGCAGTACAGTTAGTCCCCTCTCTTTTGCTAATGACAGCTTGGAGAAAAAAAAAAATATGCTTATAAAAAACTAGGTCCTACCCCTCTACAAACCTCCCAGTATTCCTTTCAAATAGGTTTGATATCTTTAGTCCATTCAGACTTTACTTATACAATGTGGGTTAGAACTTGCCCCCATGAATATGCTCTTCTAGATACAATTTCCTTCAATATTGTCCTTACTGAAATGGGACAACAAAGAAAAACCCAGCTCCCCAAGTATGAACCAAGCAATATTTATTTTTATCTGGTCCCTCTACCGCTAAACATGTAGTACAGTCTAATGGTTAGACTAACTCTTCTTGAATCCAGACTGCATGCATTTATAACCCGATTCTAAGTAAGCTTGGCCAGGTTATTAATCAAAGCCATAAAGTCTTTATTTGCTAAATAATAGTATTTTGTTATTATTGCAATATTATTAATATTGTAATATTATATTGTAATACAATTAATTTGTATTAATTACAATTAATTTGTATTATTGTATTGTAATACAATTAATATTGCAATATTGTATTATTAATACAATAATATTACATATTGCCTATCCCTGGTATATTTAACGTATAAACAAATGCCAGGTCCTTGGAACATATTTTAAGTACTCAATTAATATTGCCTGGCATTATCATTGCTATTGCTGTCCTTGCCATCATCATGGTTGTGATCATGCTACCATTACTCAACAAAAATCAGTTTTCGTTCTTCTGGCAGTTATCTCATTCACTGTGTTTGTTATCTATAAAATTCACAAATACTTTTTTCTCACAAAGCCACATTGTCTACCTACTTTATTTTGACAATTGAAATAATGTATATGCAGAAAGGTAAATTAATTCAGTTATATTTTTATTATTTTACTTGGTTTATTTTTCTAGTCATTATGAACAAATTTTCTATTCATATCAGTAGCTAGTTTTTTAACCCAAAGTGTACCAACTGCCTTCTATATCTGCAAGTCATTCAAAATAATATGTACGGATACAGACTCTCTTCTTGATCAGACTCTAGTTAGGCTCCTCCAAGCCCTCTTCTCAATTAGGCCTCAACTTTAGCCTATAGAAAATGCAGATTCTGAGCACAAAAGATTTTGTCCACCCCTCTCCCTCATACACATACACACAAAGAGACTAGAACAACTGCTAATAACGTCTCTAACAGCTTAAGTCATATCCCAAGGATGACTCCAGTTCCCCTTAAAGTGCCTATCTGGGAAAGTTCAGTGCTGCCATGCTGCCAGGATAGTTTACTGTTTGTTCCAGCCAAAATCTGATGTAGGCACATAGGCTCCCCCCTAACCCCCCAGAACAGTTACTTTAAAAAGCTGGCAATTATAAATCCCTTCTTTTGAGATGTAAATCTACCACCCAGAACTGTCCTCTCCAGGACCTCAGAACCCTCTCTTTGAAATACAAAAATTCAAGGAGCTAATGCACCCAGCCAGGTGTGTACTTAGTTCTAACTTGAATCACTACCTATCTCTGGTCATAAAGATTCCAGAAGTTTGTTTCTCTTTATAAGCATCAGTTAACAAGTTCAGATCACTGTGACCAACTCCTTCCTACTTCTTGTAAACTTCTGTATATCCCTGACACTTCTCAGGCTCCAGCACACTCTCTCCCCTGAGTTCAGTTCATGCTGGGTCCTTCTCCCTGATGCAACAGTTACTGAATAAATTCATCCTTGCTTTACCTAGTATCTGCCTTTGTTTCTCTTTGATGGCATCGACAGGTACTTACTTCGCGATTTGAAGATCTGAAGTGCACTTGCATTTGCAAATACAAAAACCTTTTCTTTACCCTACTGAATCCTCACCAAGGGGATCTTTTAGATTTCCTTTTTAAAAATGTCAAAATGTCAAAATTTCAATGAGCCTCTTTGCCATTTATCCCAGAGTACAAAGTATGAGTTTTAAAACATAAAATTGAGGAAGGTAATAGAAAACATTAGGTAACTCCCTTGCAAGCTCTGAATCTTTCTAGTACCACTGAGTATATCATTAGAGTTGGTTTATTAATGGCCAGGAGGATATGAATCCAATACGAGTTCTACATGTAAAGTGCCAGATATTCCAGTTCCTGACAAAAGATCCTGTCTCCCACAGTATATAAAGTAGATACATCATAATGCTATTACCTTATAAATATTTCAACAATTCAAATTGCACATGGCTGTATAATAAAAAATTAGACATGTCATTTTCTTTGGCAGAAAAGTAGTTACCTTTATGCAATTAGATTTAGTTCTAAACAGATTTCAAGGATAATTTTAGATTTTATTTGTTATATAGTTATTTTATGCTATCACAGAGAATTGTAGACTTTCATTTATTCCGTTATACATTTTCATGGCAGTAAACTAAGAAATGAACATACGATCTGGCAACAAAATAAGCCATGGACCGGGAGGTAAAAACCTAGGCCTATTTCTAATCTGTCACAAATCAGTGGTGTCACCCTGGGCTACTATCTTACTATTTTGGAGTCTTGGTTTACAGGTCTGTAAAAGTAAGAGGTTTACTATGTACTGTGTGTCTCTGAGTGTTCAGCTTTATTTATTTTCCAGCTTTAAAATTTGTCTCTGCCCTGATCTAGGCTGTAATCTCTGTCCTGTCAGTGAGGACAACTTTGATCTTTTTAGGCCTTAGTCATTTCCTGTTTTTGGTATTACAAGTGTAATTCTATCTTCTCTCCATTTCTCCACGGATTCAATGAAATAATCTGAAAAGTGCACATAAAAGCATTTGGGAAAAAAATGTGTCAAATACTACATAAGGAGAGGGTACTTTTAAAATCAATCTTGTTTATCATTCTACTGCAAAAAGCATTAGCATTATCACCTTTCAAGAGTACAGTGATAATTACGCTTGAAAAGAAAACTATGACTACCCGTATAATGGCAGAGAAAGATGTGTTTATATGTTCTGACTCGATGTAGCTGATTTTCTTAAACTTGCACATTCAACTCTTCTCTAGTTATTTCCTGTATTTAGACAGTTTTTGTTAAGAGAAAAGTGAAGGGAGTTGAGGGTTTGGAGAGTGGCTGGTGGAAGTGAGGGATTCTATTAAAAATGCACGTGGGTAAAGCAGAACCTCAGGGTAGCATTCCAGCAGATCTGAAGAGGGACATAGTCTCTCAGGTCCAGGGAAAAGTTACAAAGGACGGATGTGCACGGGCCACACGGAGCAAGGCTTCCTTGGGCACGTGAAGACCAGCAGGGAGGTCTGTGCCCAGGGAGGGATGGGAGTGAACGGGCTCGAGTGCAGACGCTGAGGTCAGGGAAGAGGATGGTTCAGTGGAGATGCTGGGGCTGACCAGGAGGGTCATGAAAACCATTGTAAGGATGGTGGTTTTCATTCTGACACGAGTTGGAAAAGCCAGGGGAGAAAAGGAGCAAAGTGCAGAGGTTTATATTTCAGAAGATTTGCTTTGGTGGCTCTGTGGAGATTTGACTGTACCTCATTTTAATTATAAAATAAAGGTCAAACTATGATAATAAGAATCTACAATAATAGTAACAACACCACCTAAGACATACATCTAGAAAGCACTATATACCAGGCACTATGCTAAGCATTTTACATAATTATCTCAGTTTTTATTAATGACCATTATTTCCTTATTACAAATATAAAAAAATCAAAGCTAGAATTTTGTTTTCCAGAATCAAAACTGGGAATTTTAAGTTACCAGCTCACAGTCACACAGCTGGACAGTGCTAGAGTCTTGTATCTGATCCCAGAATTGATCCTGTTTGGATGAACAACAGAATGACCTAGGCAACTTTTAGAACATGTTCCCACTCCTTTGTCTAGAACAATTCGATGTTCTAGAATGGGGTCTGGGCACTGGCATTAATTCTCCAGGGTCCCCTAATGTACAGCCAGAACTGAAAATTCCTGTGAAATAACCACCACAGTGTAATGCCTAAAATTACCTAGTACAACAGCTTGTTTCAGATTTATTATTTAATGAGGTAAAAAAGAAAATAAGTTACAGAGCTGTTTTTGTGGGGAAAATCAGCTTTCAACTTTTTTTTTTTTTTTTTTGGTAAAAACACTGTCATGATTGAGTGTAACATCTCTGTACATTTTTAAAGATAGACTCATTTCAGCACATCCTCTTTCGCCCATTCCTACCTCGATCTTGGTCAGTCCCAGGAGGGCAATGGCCACTCGGACGCTACTGCTCTCCAGAGTACCTGTGAGCAGCCTTCTCTCATACTCTATCTTCGACATCTGCTGCTGTGCTGCAAAAGCCAAGGCCTTCTCCTTGGCTTCATTAGTCAGTGACAATTTAAGGTCCACATCCAAGACTTGGTGGAGCTTACATTTCAAATACAGAACTGGATCATCCTTAGTAAGCACTAGGGGAAGCAAAAACAATCATGACTGCAACGATCATATATGCCCTTGATATTGTTATCCAGGGTGGACTTGGGAGGTCTGAAATATCACACTGCAGTTGTGGCCTTTACTAACCAGAATAAAAATAAACAGGTAACACATTTCTGGACTGCAAGGAGATCAAACAAGTCAACACTAAAGGAAATCAGTTGAATATTCATTGGAAGGACTGAAGCTGAAACTCCAATACTTGGGCCACTTGATGTGAAGAGCTGACTCATTAGAAAAGACCCTGATGCTGGGAAAGATTGAAGGCAAGAGGAGAAGGGGATGACAGAGGATGAGATGGTTGGATGCCATCACTGACTCAATGGACATGACTTTGAGCAAGCTTCAGGAGATGGTGAAGGACAGGGAAACCTGGCGTGCTGCAGTCCATGGGGTCACAAAAGTTGGACACGACTGAATGACTAAGCAAAAACAGGAACACATTTCCAGTAGTTCTAATTCAGTAATTTAAGAGTAAATTTTCAGGAATTAAAGATAATTTTCTCTCTAAAAAGTTCTAGTCATTGGCCATTGTTCTCCTATCAGTGATTAGAAGTAATAGGAGCAGAAAAAAATGTAAAGAAAGACATCTCTCAAGGACTGGCAAGAACTGCAATTTTCTTTCAGTAACAACTTTACACTTGTTTTTTCCATTTATTTTTATTAGTTGGAGGCTAATTACTTTACATCATTGTAGTGGTTTTTGTCATACATTGAAATGAATTAGCCATGGATTTACATGTATTCCCCATCCCGATTCCCCCTCCCACCTCCCTCTCCACCCGATCCCTCTGGGTCTTCCCAGTGCACCAGGCCCGAGCACTTGTCTCATGCACCCAACCTGGGCTGGTGATCTGTTTCACCCTAGATAATATACATGTTTCGATGCTGTTCTCTTGAAACATCCCACCCTCGCCTTCTCCCAGAGTCCACAAGTCTGTTTTATACATCTGAGTCTCTTTTTCTGTTTTGCATATAGGGTTATCGTTAACGATAACCCCAACTTTACACTTTAAACTAGAGCACTGCGTGAAAGTACAGGTTGTATCATTAATATCATATAGGGCTTCCCAGGTGGCTCAGTGGTAAAGAACCCACCTGCCAATGCAGGAGACACAGGTTTGATCCCTGGAAGGCTCTAACTCTTCGCGATCCCATAGACTGCAGCCCGCCAGGCTCCTCTGTTCATGGGATTTCCCATGCAAGAATACTGGTGTGAGTTGCCATGTCCTATTCCAGGGAATCTTCCTGATCCAGGAATCGAACCCTCATCCTTTGCATCTCCTGAATTGGCAGGTAGACTCTTGACACTATAATCCATGAGGCTCTAGAGTCAAACACGACTTAGCAACTAAAACAACAACAAACAAATGATAATATATAGAATTTGGCACTGTAGCTATTTCCAAAATACTTGGAAAATGGAAAACTTTGCTGAGTAAATATTTTGAATGCCAAATTTCAATATTTATCTGAAGACTAAAATATTTAAAAAGAAGCACCCTTGACATTTTCTTAAGTGTTAAAATGGTGCTCTATTCCATGGATGCTGACATATTCACGTTAAAAGGGAGCTTTTGAAACTGTAATTATATATCGGAAAAATGTGCTGTGAGAGTGCTTAGGCAACTCTATGAAGAACAATACCATCCTTCAACATTAGAAATTATATAAAATGCATGAATACTCTACCTTCTTCTGGAGAACTGCTATACTCAAGGGGAGTTGAAGAATCCATTGGAAGGAATCTGGAAGGCAAAGGGATGATGCCTCTTCCTTCCAAAATATATATTAATTCTCCAATCTATAACACAACCACATGATAATAATAAATTTTAAAAGCTCATGAAAAAATTAGGATAAATCTTTAAAAACATGCATAGTGTATTACTAAGCAACATACACCCTAAACGGGTAGAGAAAGTAAGGATTAAATACAGCCCTGCCATAATATGAGAGAAATTTTGCATGCAACCAGAACACAGAGATGGATTAAGAAGGTTCCAAGACGACATTGACAGAAGTTGATCCTTACAGTTATAAATATTCTTGGAAGACTGCTAGCTTAAAACAATTAAACAATTCAAGCAAATGAGAATGATAGTAAAGAATGTGGTGAGGATTACATGAGGTAACAACAATTTTTGTCATTTCACTTGTTATCTAAGATATATTTTTTGGTATATTTTTATTAGGTGATCAATATACTTGTATATCATTTATGTATATGTTGTTTGCTCAAACACATCTTTAGAATAATCTCTAACCCTTTGCCTGGCACTTAGCAAGCACTTAAGAGATCCATTTAAATGGAGTGAGAGCAGGCTTGCCAAATTTCATTTGCATGTAAATAACCTGAAGATCTTAGTAAATGCAGAAGATCTAGTAATTTTTACTAAGCAGACATGTACTTTTCAAACACAAATCCAAGCTAGCAATCTGAATTTCTTTTGGATGTGTGTTACTATATACAGCTGAGTGATCAATACTAATGATAAAAAATTTTGAGATCTCACAAGCCACAGGTTACAGTCAAAGAATTTTTTTCCAGTAACTGGAGTGCAAACGCATCAGTTCACCAAAAAATTAATATTTTACTTTTAACTTTTTTCTCATGTTTATTTTTATCTAAAAATCAGTTATTTTACCTAAAGTGTAGTTAATGGAAGAAATTTTCATGTGCTGAGTTATGGGGAAGTCATTTGGGCTTATATACGATTTCGTTCAAGCTTTATGCTAACTACAATAGCCTGTCTTATGGCCTGTGAAACATGAATTTTATATCTGCTTTAATAATTAAAGAAAGAATAAAAATCAAAATGAGTAATTGTGGTCCAGGCATTCAAAATGCAGGTGGGTGGCTATTGTTGATATAGTTTCAGACAGTCCTGCATCACTGATAACTTGAATCTTCTGAACCTTTTCAAACTCAAGAACACCACTAGCCATTCTCAAAACAGCTGCAACCTTATGGCTTAAAGGTCTTCTTTGATAGAGTTCATAAGTGTGCAAAAACTTGGGGCCCCAAACCAACCCTTGCCTAACAAGAGCCTTACTTCTTGCCAGATTCAATACTAATTCTTGACAAACAACTTATGTACCTTTTTGATTTTTGCCTATTTTAGCCTCCTACATTTTATAGCCTGGGGGAACACCATTCAGATGCCTCTTGAATCTGTAACCCAGGCTATAGTCCTCAATTAGACTCAAGCAAAATTTTTTTCTATTCCTGTTATAGACTGTTTATTGATGATTTGTGTCAGCATAGTCTTCATAAGAAATTAGACTTGGTGAATATAGAGTTATAATAATTGTATGCTTTTTTTCAATGTGGACCTGAATGAAACCAGATCTATATAGCTTGTCTACTCCTGAAAATGAATACCAACTCACCAGATTTAATACAAAAGAAGTAAACTGCTATTTCCCAGAATTTAGAAATATATTATTTAGAAAATATATTTTTATAAAATATAAATGATAAGCATCTTCCTAGCCATTATTAGGCACTTGAAATATCAATAACTATGACTCCATTCAATTTCACTTAACTCTACATCTTAGACAATATATCACTTCTCAAAAAAATATTTCATCTAACTTGTTCACTTTCAAAGTTCTTTTTTATTAAAAAGAAACAATGTAATTGAAAATGATGCCTGTTCCAGCAAATTATTCATAAAAATCATTTATAGTATCATTTAATTATTTCCCTCCACTTTTTTAGAAATAAAATCAGACCAGCAAATAATACAAATGCAATAAAGAACTATTTAAAGTAGAGAAGCCCTTTACATTCCAAATCTAGAGGCAGTGACAAGGGAAATGAAATAATCTAACAAAAATAGGCACTTGTCAATGTAAGCTATCTTAAAAGTCATGTTAAACTTCCTTTCTGCTCTTATTACATATTTTCCAGTCTGCATATTTACTTGAATTTGCATTTTCCAGAAAGATGCCAACGCCCATTGTCAATTGTAAGAAACCCTCACAAAAAATATTTTGTTCTTCCTGTGTATCTAGTTAAATGCAGTTCTCAAACAATGCAGTTCATGCAATTTTACAAGAAGACCAGCTGTTAATGACCCAGAAGGAAAGAACACAACACTAAATTGGCAGGAAAGTTTTAATTCTAGCTCTGCCACTAATTAGCTGGATAACCCTGGCCAAGTCATGGATGCCCTCCAGATACAGATAACCTCAACCTTAAAAAAAATCAAAAAAGAAAAGAAAAAACACATTTCTAGACAGAAAATCAAATCCCTATGTTGTTTTATAGATCTTAAATTCTACTTACGCTCTCATACTTGACCCAGATCTTACTATTTTTCTAATTTGTGTATTTGCATTGGCTGTACAATACTATATTATTTTGATAACTCAACAGGCAGGTGAGACCTAAGCTAAAATTTTAAAATGTTAAATTCCATACACTAGACAGAGATCATCAATCATTGACTGTGGCTATTTATTTGACTTTGTAATAATTATAACATGAAACTGACCAGTAAGAATAATTGCCATTCTTTTAAAGTATTATTTTTCATAGAATGACTGAGCTAAGAGATTCAGTGAAGGTGAGAAGAAGGCATATAAAAAGATTAAATGCTTGCACTAAAAAGTTCAGCTTTTTAAACATAATTTTAACACAACGTTAATTACATGCCTGAGAGATTATTCCACAGACATTTTGAGAAGGCAACATATATTTAAATGGCACAACATATGGATTGATTGTTTAGTAAAAACACATGATATACTGTAGGAAAACATCTCTCAAATAAACATTAGGCTGGGCTTAGACTCCAGAAGCTACTGTGGCAATACGTTTAACAATCTCTCTTTGCCTTTATCACCATATTTTTCAGAAGTTTCTATTCAGATTTTTTTTCCCAATTTGCTCTGCAAGTAAATAAAAATTTGCTTTCTCTGCAGATGTGAACATCACTGAAACTGCCAGTAAGGTTGATCTTCATATACAGTGCTCTCATCCCCTTCTTTTCCCCAGATTCAACATCATCTCTTCTTTCACCATTGCTTCTCACATTCTTCTGTTTGACTGCTCTTAATAGTAAGGGAAAGCAGAGGGCTGCAGAGAATAGATGTGTGTGGAGTAGTGTAATAGACTGCGAGTCTTCCAGCCAGTCTCTTGGTCTCCCAGTTTGCCTTTAACTCTTAGTCTACTTTCTGTTTTGGCTCCAGAGATGCTTTCCAAAGTAAAATAGAATCAGATCATGCCTATGCTCAATATCTTTTATTGGACTCCTGCTTTCAATAATAAAAATAAATTGAGTTCAGTTCAGTTGCTCAGTCATGTCCCAACTCTTTGCGGCACCATGGACTGCAGCACGTCAGACTTCACTACCCTGTCTATCAATAACTCCTGAGGCTTGCTCAAACTCATGTCCATCGAGTCGGTAATGCCATCTCATCTTCTATTGTCATCTTCTATCTCATCTTCTGTTGCCCACTTCTCTTTCTGCCTTCAATCTTTCCCAGCACCAGGGTCTTTTCTAAAGAGTCAGCTCTTCACATCAGGTGGCCAAAGTATCAGAGCTTCAGCATCAGTCCTTCCAATGAATATTCAGAACTCATTTCCTTGAGGATGGACTGGTTTGATATCCTTGCAGTCCAAGGGACTCTCAAGAGTCTTCTCCAACACCACAGTTCAAAAGCATCAATTCTTCGGCACTCAGCTTTCTTATTCAAGTTAAAATTCAGGGCCCTCTTCAGTTTTAGGCTGACTTATCCATTGAAGCCATTGTCTGTCATTTCCAACATTCTATTCTCAGAACTGGCAATCCAAGTATTCATGAAATTTCATGCTTAGTTCAACCTCACGTTCTTAGAATCTTCTCCTGAGCATACTTCTCTGCCCAAACTCTGTTTACTAGCAAATTTCTACTCATCCTTCTTAACCAAACTCCTATATCAATCAATTAACCCAGACTCTGCTATGCATTCTTCCCACTACTCCAGAAATGGTCACAATCTGTGTTATAGAAACAAGTGGACATGTCTAGGACACCGTGCATACAAGGAAAGAGTATGTCTTGCAAGGGGCATCTTACTGAGGGCAAGGTCATCCCAGCATAAGGCTGCATCCATTGAAGGAAGAAATGCATTTTTCTAATTCTCATGGCTGTGCCATATGTCCAGCAAGCATTTTTCATAAACCAGGAGGGAGCACCTACTTCAAACTAACACCAAGTTTTTGTGTGAGCTGGTCCAGACTTATGCAAGTTGTCTTGTCCACTGAAATGTGATTCCCTTGGATTCAGTATTCCTATTCTTTCTGTGTATTTACTCTCTCCATGCCTAGAAAACTGGTTTTATACAGTTGGTGAATTAAACTGTTGGGAGGAGTGAACTGAATAATAAAATGAGATTAATGAGAATACAGCTTGAGGGTGTCAAATTTTTAAATTTACAATAAGCCATACTCCATATTCTATAGTTTTCTTTAAGAAGGAGAGGGTTTGAAATTTGTAACTAGCAGATAAATAAATTCTGGAGATCTAAGGCACAGCAGAGTAATTATAGTCAACAATAGTATATGATAAACTTCCAAGTTGCTAAGATAATAGATCTTAATTGTTTTCAAGAAAAAAAGAAATGATATGACGTGATAAATGCATTAGCTAACATGACTGTAACAGGGCTTCCCTGGTGGTTCAGATGGTAAAAAGTCTGCTTGCAATGCAGGAGATCTGGGTTCAATTCCTGGGTCACGAAGATCCCCTGGAGAAGGAAATGGCAACCCACTCCAGTACTCTTTCCTGGAGAATTCCATGGACAGAGGAGCCTGGGGGGCTATAGTCCATGAGGTCACAATCAGACACAATTGGTCCTTTACCAGAACATGACAGCAGTGATTATATTGCCACATATAAGTGTATCAAACCAACAGAGTATACATGTCAAAATTATACAGTGTTACCTATCAATTATATCTCAATAAGTATCTCAAAAAAAGGATGAGAGGGTCCATAAAATTAACATGGATTTGGGAAAACAGGAATTACTGTTTCCTCATATTCTACATGTCACTTGAAGTACAGTCCCTTGGAGCTAACATTTTGGTACCCCAGAGGTATGTGGAATCTTTACAGAATAACTGGTTGTATCATTGATAAGGAACCTAGAGGAAATCCCCCTAAATAAGTAACTACCATTGGGCACAAAATTCTCATTTTCAGATTTTCCTCTTAGATTTTTTTCTAAAAAGGTTGCAGTGCTTAATGTATGCTGATGGTTTCACAGTAACAGGGGAAGTAGGGTAGGTCAGGTCAGAGGAAGTCTTGTAGTGTGGAGGGGCTCAAACTCTGTCCATCTTTGTGAACATTTACCACTTTGGTAGGCTCCCCTGGTAGCTCAGTTGGTGAAGAATCCACCTGCAATGCAGGAGACCCCGGTTTGATTACTGGGTTGGGAAGATGGCCTGGCGAAGGGATAGGCTACCCACTCCAGTATTCTTGGGCTTCCCTGGTGGCCCAGCTGGTAAAGAATCCACCTGGAATGTGGGAGACCTGGGTTCAATATCTGGGTTGGAAAGATCTTCTGGAGAAGGGAAAGGCTACCCACTCCAGTATTCTGACCTGGAGAATTCCATCGAATGTATAGTCCATGGGGTTGCAAAGAGTCAGACACGACTGAGCAACTTTCACTTTCACCACTTTGGTGGAGACTTCAAAGTTCACCTAACCTGACCCTATATGGCCAGCAGGAATCCTGTGGTTAATAAATGTTTCAAAGTGTTGATGGGCCAATTGGGATTTCACTTTCTCTCTCTTTCCCAGGGAACAAGTCAGGGGTTTGGCCTGTGGGGAGGAGTGTAGTTACCAAAAGAAAAAACAAAAATGTGGTTGTAACAAATCAAATGAAAAATCAAAGGGCAAATGAATTGCAGCTTGCTGTTAAAAATCATGGAAAATAGAAGAAACCATTAGCAAATGATACTTAGTCCCTCCAGCTATAAAAATAACTTTCATAAAACTGAAGTCAGTTTGCCTAAATGTAAAGTTACATAAAGATTTTAGCATAATATAACGTTTTTACCTTGCTAGCAAAGGCAAAATAAGCAAAATCAATATTGTTATCAGTATTATTTAAGTCTGCACATTAATTATGATTGAAAAAGTTGTACACTGGAATAATTACATATACATAGTAGAGACTGCCAGCTTAATTTCTGCATTAGTAGAGACAGAAAGGCTGAGGGAAAATAAAATGAGTGACAGTGCAAAAAGTCATGTGAGGGGTTCCACTTATTTATGCAAATCTAAGGGAGATGGCCAGAGTGACATACAATACATTTAACAACTGGTGTGGCACAGCCTGAGACTAAGCTGCTGTAAACCACACATCAGCAAGAAGGCCCTGTGGGGTCTTCTACCTGGCAGCAGGCACCCTTGCCCTCTCAACTTCTGATCTGATGTGGCAGGGCTGATGCTCTCTTTGGTGTGGGGGCCCTGGTGCAGGACAGGACCAATTTGCAGCATAAGCTGTTTGGGGATGCTGACTGCTACTTCCTCAAGTCAGCAAGGCAAGGATTCTAGTTTTGATTGTTTTGACCAAATTTTACAGACAGAAAAAGGACAGTGAAGGACTAGAAGATAAGTACCCAGAGGGAGGAGGATTCTGGCGTGGTTCAACAAAAAAGGCTCATGTGTTGGTGGAAAAGGGCTGGTCAGGTCATAGAAAGTAGCTACAGAAGGAATGCACTTTTAACCCAGGCACTGTGTCAGGATCCCTGGCTGATTCCCCTGCCTCTCTCATAAGGATGATCCCAGCAATGCTGGGTGGTTTCCAACTGCGGAACCCAGTTCCACTGCTGGAACCCAGCAGGCAGAGTGCCATGGGTGTAGCAGCGCGTGGCTTTATTCTGTGCAGTGTCTGTGTGCCCTGTGTGGGGGTCTGTCTACCTCTCCTTCCAGAAAGTGCATTTCCTCAGGGACTGGGTCATGATTCTGCTCCAGCTTCCTCATTCAGTCTGTCCCTGTCCACACATGGATTTCTAGCACTTAATAGCATGACTTTTTAGGCTTCTGTAGGTTTTCTCCTAATTGAGGGATTTCTATGAACACTGATGGAACTTCTGTAAAACTGTTTTTCCGTTCAAACAACTATTATACAAATCATTCCATTTTATTTGAAAGTTCGAAAGGAACAGCCAAAATGGAACGAATGGCTGACACTCGGTAGCAGTTTTAGTAGAAACATTTCTGTTTTACACACAGAAAACTATCACATTGGGGCCTAATTATGTCATAGTTTTCAACAGGTAGTTCTTAATGGCAAGGCAGTTATCACACATTTAATAAGAAAAAGAGCTAACTAGGTGGACGTGGGTGTTTGATTATCTATTTAAGTGTGTAATTACATTTTTCAATATAATTAGCAATAAAATTGAACATGTAAATTAATAGATGTATTTCTCCACTTAAGCAATTGTAATTCAATGCAATACTTTAGATAAGGGGCATTATTTCTCAACTGATAGAAATATATCTTCATTATTATTGTTTTTCTTAATATTCCTTCTGATAAGAACAAAATATATGTAATCAAAGGACTGTTTTAAACAGATGTCAAGTTCGGTATAATTATATTTTGATTAATTTAGATAAAATTTATGGAAGCAAATAGTCCAATTCAAAGAATAATGGGAGGTCCCCAGCAGTCCAGAGAAACAGGCCCAGGTTCAATTCCTGGTCAGGGAACTAAGATCCCACAAGCTGCACAGTATGGTCAAAAAAGAAAGCAAACAAACAAAAAAAAAACAAATAAAATCAAACTCTTACCAGGCTATTGAGAATCAAACCTAGTATTTTTCTATGGCTATTTTATAAACTGATATTGAAAAGGGATTGTGAAATATTTTATTAAACTAGAGTTCTTATTTTTAATAAGTTTTTATTTAGAATTCAGTTAAACTTTAAAGGAAATGAAAAACAAAATTTAGCATTACTATTAAATAGCCTTTTTTCTTCCTAAATGGTAATTTTCAGTGTAAAATTAAACTATTCTTTACATATTTAAGAGGTTATGCTATTTTTCAGGTATAAATGACACTACAAGCAATAGGTCAATATAACACCTCTTTCCAGTTACCATTATTTCATTGCCTATAAATTCAATATAGTGCATATGTGTGTGTGTGTGTGTGTGTGTGTGTGTGTTAGTTGCTCAGTTGTGTCTGACTCTTTGCGACCCCATGGACTGTAGCCTGTCAGATTCCTCTGTCCATGGAATTCTCTAGGCAAGAACTGGAGTGGGTTGCCATTCCCATCTCCAGGGGATCTTCTGGACCCAGGGATGGAACCCAGGTCTCCCACACTGCAGACAGATTCTTTACCGTCCACATTTGGGGCTATCTCCTGGGGGTTATCAATTCCCTTCTCAGATCAACACATGGTAGCATCTTTCCAGAAGGAGATAATGCCATAAAACTTTTCCTCTATAGCCTTTCTCCCACCCTCCTCTGCCTCTGTCTCTCTCCTTCCTTGGCTTTAGAGAAGCAAGATGCATGGTTCCTAGAACCATGAAATTAACTCTGCCAAAAATGGGAGACAGCTTAGAAGCAGCTCCTTCCTCAATTGAGCTTTCAAGGAGAACACAGCACTGGCTGATCCCTTGACTGAAGACTTGACAGACCTAAAACAGAGGACCCATCTAGGTTACATCTGGATCTCTGATCCCTGGAAAATGTGACAAGACAAACACAGATTGTTTAAAGCCTAGCAGTGTTTGGTCACTTGTTATGCAGCTAGACACAGCTGAGAGAGAAGGCCCAGCAGCTGAGGTGTGCCTCCACTCTCTTCCCACCGGACCTCCTGATCCAGCCCTCACAAAATTTACAGACAACTAGTTTAACCCTTTGCTTATTCTTGAGGATAAGCTCTTTGTTTAGCAACCAGAGGGTTAACATTGTTGTCTTCAGCTGCCCTCAAGTTGCCTGCACTGGTTATCCCATTAAAGTGCCAGCCCTTAAGGAAAGCACCCACCCCGCTTCATTCTCACCTCTCTGTTACTGAGGATGGTGACACAGTAGCGCGTGTGCATGCCAAACGGCAGGAAGATGAGCTCCAGGCTTGAAGTCCCCTTCGCTGCCAGGTGAAGAGTACGTGTAGCGCAAGAGAACTCTTTGATGAAATTGGACTTAATTGCTGCCAGAACATGAAATAGGGCCTGTTTACATATTTTGCAAGTGCTATTCAAATAAAGCAGCTGTTTCAGCTAGTGATTAGAGTTTGGGGATGAATTTTAAAAGTGTTCAGAGCATTAGCACACAAAATCAGATGACACATTTCTTAATGTAAGTATGGGGGACCCCAGATCAAGCATAACATAACAAAAATGTGTAATTATGACCTTCTATTAAAGACTCCTTAAAAAACAAAGGGAACTTGACTAGTGTTTAAAATCAGCCTGGCTATACACAGAAACATAAACGGCAAAGAGGACATTCCAGAATCTGCAACTTTTTTTGTGGACTATGTAATGATTCAAATTATAGGGTGTAACAAACAGCTTAAACTGGAAATAAAGGCCTGTATGTGTATATATTTATATCTATTAGTTGTTGTTGCTCGTTTTTAAAACACATCCACAAAGCCCTCAATGTTGCTTTGAATGTGGAGACACAGTGGCCCAGTTTTAGTGACTTGACCCTAATGCAGAGTATACTAGATTGCTGCAAAATCAAGCCATGTGACTTCTGATCTGACACTAGGTCAGAAAATGTAATACAACTTCTTCTTAATCATCTCTCTTTCCTGGTTCACTTGCTTTCAGAACCAAGCTGTCATTCTGTAAAGAAACTTAGGCCACATAGACAGGCCACATCAGAACAGCATCCAGAACAACAGTCCCACTCTGGATCTGACTGCAACTGCCTGAGAGACCCCCGAGCAAGAGTCACCTAGATGAGGCCAGTGACCCCCGAAGTGTGAGAGATCATAATATAAGGCATTCTCGTTGTTTAATATCACTACATTTGGGGTGGTTTGTTCTGTAGCTAGAGAGCACCACAACAGCCCCATATCCATTTTTCTATCCATTATTCTATCCACATTTTCTAAATGTATGGTTAGTTATTTCATAAAACACAGTAAATCTGTCATCTCCTTAACATTTTAAACATGGTGATACCTGTCACCCCAATTGGTTTAAACAGTTCAGAATAAGCCAAAAGAAACATAAACGTCATTTATTGAAATACCTTTAACGTACAGGTGAGGAAACTGAGACTCAGCAGTAAAAAGCAAGACGTGAACAGTTTCCCAAAGGGTCATGAGCAGAAAAGGCTGAGGACCAATACCTCAAGCTCCCATGTGGCCAGCAAGCCCCAGGGCTTGCTGCTCTGTCTATAGTTGTGACCACTACTTATTGAATATTTCATTTCATATTATGCTCAGTATATAAAAATAAGACATGAAAACAAATATTTGTAATTGTAGCACTCACAGGTTTTTAAAGCATTTGGGTCCTGGGGATGGCCCTCAGCAATATCACATTCACTGCTATTCACAGCAACACTATCATAAGGAAATAGGAAAAGAACATCAATGACACTCGGAAATAATACTCTATATCTTAATTCAATCTTAAACTTCCTTAAAAATCATGGCCACCTACAACATGATAGGTGAAAATCACAAATGTACTTCATGGATCATTTGTATGTTTATATAGTTTTAGAAATTTAAAAAATAAGAAAAACATGAAAAGGAAACTAACAATCATCCATATTTTCACCACTGCTTTTTAAAAATTTATCTATTTATTTAATTGGAGGCTAATTACAATATTGTAGCTCACCACTGTTGTTTTTTTTTTAAAAAAGGTAAAAACAATTTCTTTTTGCTTACAAATACTGTAGAGTAGTAAACATATGATAATAATAAAAACTCAAATCCTGATACTTCAAAGTAGGTGGTCTCAACTAAGGACTACATAGGTAGTCTCTCCAAAAATGGTTCTAGAACTTGAAAAAATTATCTTCTCTAAGCTAATTGCACATTTGCTTCTTTCTCATACAGGTAGGAGGAGACTTGGACAGCTGTTTAATCTTGTGTTGTATTTCTGCAAATTAATTAGCAAATCACAGCCCGAAGCAAGTGCCTCCCTTGCAAATCTCCATGTCTTCCATGACCCATCAATTTCCTCCGATTTGCTCCTCTTAGTATCCACGATTACTTTGCTGTCAATTAGTATCTGGGATCTAAGATATTGTTTGCTTGACTTTTTTCTGAGAATATAAAAAAATTATATTTTCTCAACTTGCCAGGTGATTTCTATGAATTTGAAGCTGTAAAAATATACTATTTTTAAGGAATGTTGTTCCAACCATATCCATTCCTTTTCTACAAACATTTTCTTTTCTTTACACTAGACTCTTAATAAGGTTATTTACCACATCTAGCCCTTATTCTGTGCTTTGTTCTACTCACAGGCATTCTGACTAGCAGTTTTAGCAATATGCTTTTTTCTTTTTTTAAAAAGAACATTTAATCAGTTCAGTTCAGTCACTGAGTCGTGTCTGACTCTTTGTGACCCCATGAACCACAGCATGCCAGGCCTCCTTGTCCATCACCAACACCCAGAATTCAGCCAAACCCACGTCCATTGAGTCAGTGATGCCGTCCAACCATCTCATCCTCTGTCGTCCCCTTCTTCTCCTGCCCTCAATCTTTCCCAGCATCAGGGTCTTCTCAAATGAGTCAGCTCTTCGCATCAGGTGGCCAAAGTACTGGAGTTTCAGCTTTAACATCAGTCCCTCCCATGAACACCCAGGACCAATCTCCATTAGGATGGACTGGTTGAATCTCCTTGCAGTCCAAGGGACTCTCAAGAGTCTTCTCCAACACCACAGTTCAAAAGGATCAATTTTTTGGCGCTCATCTTTCTTTATAGTCCAACTCTCACATCCATACATGACCATTGGAAAAACCATAGCCTTGACTAGATAAACCTCTGTTGACAAAGTAATGTCTCTGTTTTTCAATATGCTGTCTAGGTTGGTCATAACTTTCCTTCCAGGGAGTAAGCGTCTTTTAATTTCATGGCTGCAATCACCATCTGCAGTGATTTTGGAGCCCAGAAAAATAAAGTCAACCACTGTTTCCACTGTTTCCCCATCTATTTGCCATGAAGTGATGGGACCAGATGCCATGATCTTAGTTTTCTGAATGTTGAGTTTTAAGTCAGCTTTTTCACCCTCCTCTTTCACTTTCATCAAGAGGCTCTTTAGTTCTTCTTCACTTTCTGCCATAAGGATGGTGTCATCTGCATATCTCAGGTTATCGATATTTCTCCTGGCATTCTTGATTCCAGCTTGTGCTTCTTCCAGCCCAGCGTTTCTGATGATGTATTCTGCATATAAGTTAAATAAACAGGGTGACAATATACAGCCTTGACGTACCCCTTTTCCTATTTGGAACCAGTCTGTTGTTCCATGTCCAGTTCTCACTGTTGCTTCCTGACCTGCATACAGGTTTCTCAAGAGGCAGGTCAGGTGGTCTGGTATTCCCATCTCTTTCAGAATTTTCCACAGTTTACTGTGATCAACACAGTCGAAGGCTTTGGCATAGTCAATAAAGCAGAAATAGATATTTTTCGGTAACTCTTTTACTTTTTCGATGATCCCGTGGATGTTGGCAATTTGATCTCTGGTTCCACTGCCTTTTCTAAAACCAGTTTGAACATCTGGAAGTTCACAGTTCACATACTGCTGAAGCCTGGCTTGGAGAATTTTGAACATTACTTTACTAGCGTGTGAGGTGAGTGCAATTGTGCAGTAGTTTGAGCATTCTTTGGCATTGCCTTTCTTTGGGACTGGAATGAAAACTGACCCTTTCCAGTCCTGTGGCCACTGCTGAGTTTTCCAAATTTGCTGGCATATTGAGTGCAGCACTTTCACAGCATCAACTTTCAGGATTTGAAAGAGCTCAACTGGAATTCCATCACCTCCACTAGCTTTGTTTGTAGTGATGCTTCCTAAGGCTCACTTCACTTCACATTCCAGAATGTCTGGCTTTAGGTGAGTGATCACACCATTGTGATTATCTGGGTCGTGAAGATCTTTTTTTGTACAGTTCTTCTGTGTATTCTTGCCACCTCTTCTTAATATCTTCTGCTTCTGTTAGGTCCATACCATGTCTGTCCTTTATCCAGCCCATTTTGCATGAAATGTTCCCTTGGTATCTCTAATTTTCTTGAAGAGATCTCTAGTCTTTCCCATTCTAATGTTATCCTTTATTTCTTTGCATTGATCACTGAGGAAGGCTTTCTTATCGCTCCTTGCTATTCTCTGGAACTCTGCATTCAAATGGGTATATCTTTCCTTTTCTCCTTTGCTTTTCACTTCCCTTCTTTTCAGAGCTATTTGTAAGGCCTTCTCAGACAGCCATTTTCCTTTTTTGCATTTCTTTTTTTTTGGGATGGTCTTGATTCCTATTTCCTGTACAATGTCATGAACATTGAATACTTTTATGTAATTTGAGCACTTGATAGATACCTGAAGGTTATGATAGACATAGTAGATAGATATTTCAGCATTTATAACAGAGACTATACAAAGAGTGGAAAGAACAATGAAAAAAAAAAAAAGCTTATTTCTCAATGTACCACTATAATGCCATCTCTTTGCTAATGGAGTTCTGGGTAGAATGTCTGATTAAAATCCTTAGATAATCTACAAACCTCATTTTGTTCAATACATGCAATCACTAGCCCTTCAGTCATGTGCTTTTTTGTGTTTTTTTTTCACTGTGAATAGAAAAGCAGAGCAATTTGGGCTTCATCTCCTTTTTCTTTTCTTTACCTATTTTGTTGGAGAACAGCTAATGATGGTGCCTTTTGAACAAATCAAAGAGCTGCCTTATCCACAAAGAAGAATCTCAAAACCAGAAAAATTGAGCTACCTGTATTACTTATGATAAAAATACATAAAACATTTTACAGACCTAAGAATTTGATGGACTTGCTTGTAAAGCTGATAATTATCATGATTAATTCAGAGACATAAGAAAATAATTTAATAAAATAATCTGGCTAAGGAAAATTCTATTTTACCTGATCAATGACAGTGTGGATCACAATAAACTGTGGAAAATTCTGAAACAGATGGGAATATCAGACCACCTGACCTGCCTCTTGAGAAATTTGTATGCAGGTCAGGAAGCAACAGTTAGAACTGGACATGGAACAAGAGACTGGTTCCAAATCAGGAAAGGAGTACGTCAGGCTGTACATTGTCTCCCTGCTTATTTAACTTATATACAGTGTACATCACGTGAAACTGTTAGTCAAGTAATGGAATATTTTCTGCTAATTTAGTAATGGGTTAAAGTCAGGGTGTGGAACCTATTAATACTTATCAGGTGGAAAGGGATGGCACACTATTTTCCTCTGCAATAGTGGTATATAGCTCTTTTCAAGCTCAAATAATCAAAATGACATTGAACTGCTTCTAGTCAGTGAAAGTCACTCAGTCATGTCTGACTCTTTGCAACCCCATGGACTATACAGTCTGTGGAATTCTCTAGGTCAGAATACTGGAGTGGGTAGCTTTTCTCTTCTCCAGGGGATCTTCCCAACCCAGGGATCGAACCCAGGTCTCCCACATTGCAGGTGGATTCTTTACCAGTTGATCTACAAGGGAGTCAAAGCATGAATAAATCAGCTCCAAGAATGACTTCCTTCTCAAGTTTCTCCATCAGGGAAGAAAGATCTTTCTTACAAGCTTTCATACCTCTGGGCTGGCATTCAGGGCTACATCCAAATCAAGCAGCAAATTCTCTGGTTCAAGTCTAGTTTTTATGACTCACAGGAAGGAATATAAGATAATCAATTTTTAGATTCATCCCATCCTCCATGCATCCTGGAGTTGATCAAAATCAGATCCCATGGCCATGTGGGGGGCAGTTAAAATAGAATGTTTGATGCTTTTTGTACAACTTTGGCTCCTGAATAGCTGAGAAGTCTCTAAAATGAGGGGTGCTAACCTGTCATACAAAGAGAGAGTGATCTGTGAATTTAAATGGGGAAAAGATTTCCACCATTATGCCCACTGACTCTTAATAGCAACTGAAATCAAATCACAGTAGTATTAGCTGTACACAAGTATCTTTACATCACATTTCACTTCTTGCACATATATTTAGCTATTATTTATTTTCACTGCTACTTTTAAAATGTGGTAGTTATCTCTACCAGTAGGTGTTACTATGCATCATGTTAATGAAGTATATGTTTTAATATACTACAAGTTTCAAATATTGTGATACAGTACTCTACTAGACTATTACTTTCCTCTGTGCTATGGACTGAACTGTATCACCCTTAAATTCTATGTTGAAGTCTTAACTCTCAAAATGATTGTGTTTGGAGATAGGGCATGCGTGCCTGCTCAGTCACCTCAGGTGTGTTCAACTCTTTGCGACCCTATGGACTGTAGCCCACCAGGCTCCTCTGTCCATGGGATTCTCCAGGCAAGAATACTGGAGTGGGTTGCCATGACCTCCTCCAGGGGACA